CGTGGCTGGCCTGCCCCCCGGGCACGGTGCCCCCCAGGCTGGCACTGATCCGGGGCAGCCACGTGGCCACTGCTGGGCGCCAGCGTGGGGGCCACAGCATTAGCCGGCTGCAGGCCAAGGGTGCTAGGGCTCTGCTGGGGAGGGGTCCAGCAAGGAAATCCCCACTGCCCCCAGCAAGAGGTGGCATGGAGGTGCCCAGGGCATAGGTGGGGTGGGAAAAGCGGGGTGCAGGTGCCACTGGGCATCCTCCCCTATGCATCTTTCCCGTTAGACCCTAGAGGCTCTGCTGTCGGGGCCGGGGGGGCAGCGCTATACAAACAGCACAGCTGCCAGGTGCACTTGTGCGCTGGATTTGCTAATCCGGGGCGGTCGCAGCCTCCGCGGCTCTCTGCAGTCGTGAGCGCGGGGCATGGCGGCACCCGGGCCTGGCCACAAAACCGGCTCGGGAGTGGGGAGCAGGGTGTAGAGGAGAGGCTGACGGAAATGGGCTGATTTAGTTTGCAGAAGACAAGACTGAGGGGTGATTTAATTGCAGCCGTCAACTCCCTGCAGGGGGGCTGCAAAGAGGATGGAGCTGGGCTGTTCTTAGCAGGGGGAGATGAAAAAACAAGGAGCAATGGGCTCAAGCTGCAGCAAGGAAAGTTGAGGTTGGATATTAGGAAGAACGTTCTCCCTAGGAAAGTAGTAAAATATTAGAAAAGGCTCCTGAGAAACGTGCAGGCTCCATCCTTGGAGGTTTAAGACCCAGGTAGACAAAGCCTGGGCTGGGATGATGCAGCTGGGGCTGGTCCTGCTTGGAGCAGGGGTTGGATCCTCCTCAGCTCCCTGCCAGCCCTTCGTGGTCCGTGATGCTGTGAACAGAGGCGTGAGGTGCAGGATGCAGGAGCGGGTCGTGCCTCCACCTGTTCAGTCTCATCTCAAAGGCTGCGTGCAGTTCTGGGCTCCCCGGTTTCAAAAGGACGTGGAGATGGGAGAGAGACCGGCCAGAGGCGGGTGATCAAGGGCTTGGAAAGCAAGTCCTAGAGGAGAGGCTGGAAGGAGCTGGGCCTGTTCAGCTGGGGAAAGGTGCTCAAAGGAGCCTGCAAGCACCCGGAGGGCTGCACAGAGAAGAGGGAAAACCCCCGATCTCTCCTGCTGCACAGCAGGAAGGGAAGCAATGGCTGGACAGTGCAGCCAAGGAGGTTTAGGCTGGATCCGATCAAACCCGTCAGCACTTTGCTCCCTGTGCCAGGGGTTGAAGCCTCCCCCCTGCTGCTGCAGCCTGGGCTGGGCTGGGGCTGGGCTGTGCCAATGCTCCTGCTGCACCCACCCCGCAGCGTCCTGGCTGGAGGGTCTTGCCCCCACACCCACGCTGCACTGGGGCAGGAAGGGCCTCGTCCTGGGCTCTCTGCAGTGTCCGTGACCCCCCCGGGCGCAGCAGGATGTTGGCGGCTGCAGCCCCCCTGTATCCCGGGGGTGGGGACGATGCCGGGGGCTGTGTCAGGGGCAACTGTGTCGTGCGGCTCTGAGGTCCGTCATGGGGTTTGCCTCTGTCTCCGTCCGGCTCCCAGTCACGCCAGTGGCTGTCCAGCCACG